AAGTGCCTATCAATAGATGAATGGATAAAGAAGATGTGGTATAGAATTAATGATGTGGTATAAAATGGAATGTAGTTTAGCCATGAGAAAGAAGTTGATCCTGCCACTTGCAACAACATGATGGACCTTGAGCACCTATGCTAAATGAGATAAGTCAGAGAAAGACAAGTAATAACTTGTTATGTACCCATCAATGTAAAAAAAGTATGTATCTTTGCATTTTGCTTTTTAATAATGTCTTAATTCCACTTATATGTGAAAGTTGAAAAACCCAAACTCATGAAAACAGAGTAAAATGGTGATTACCAGGGGTTGGTGGGGGGTGGAATAGGACAGATGTTGTTTAAGTGTACAAACTTACAACAAGTAGTAAATTAGTCCAAAAAGATCCTCCTAGGCCCAGTTCCTCTACCTCCCTTGCAAAACAAAAGACTCATCCTAAAGCAAGAAATGTATCAAAGCCCGCCTGAGGGTGCTGGTGCAATCCCACTAGAGCAGGGAAAGAAAGAGATTCAAAACCACACTGTAAATATATATATATGCCTTACTGTTAAAGTGTACAGCTAAAACTTATTAGATTTTGTTAACCATTGTCACCATAAAAAAATAATAATTAATTAATTTAAAAAATAAACCTTAGCTTGAGGAAATTGGAGAAAGGCAAAGGTACTAAAATAGCCAAAACAATTCTTAGGAAGAAAAACAAAATTGTGTGATTTTCATTACCCAATTTCAGGACTTATCATAAAGTTACAAAATTTAAGACAGTGTTGTATCTGCAGAAGGAAAGTAAAGGAATAGACATGTAGATTAATGAAACCAAATGGAGAATCCAGGAAGAGATCCACACAAATACAGTTAACTGGTTTTTGAAAAATGCAAAATCAACTCAATAGAGAAATGAAAGTCCTTGCAACAAGTGGTGGTAGAACAATTGGATGATGTAAATGCAGATATAAATTTAAAATAAGTAGCTAGTTCTCCCTGTTGAAAACAAGGGAAGAGACTTCTCTCCCTCGACCCCTTTTCTTAGAGCATTTGCTGTAGAACATTTGTCATTGTAAGTCCTTTGTCTTTTTGAAATGTATGTAAATCTGTTTAAAAGTTATATAGATCTCTTGCCAGCTTTACTACCCAATAATGTCTTTCTCAAGGACCTAAAACTCTCTTTTTTAAATGCAATTATAAGAGAAGAGAGCGTTTCCCCATTTCTATGGAATGGTAGGAGCCTAACCTCAGAGGTGCCTCACTCCAAGTTGCAAAACTATCTCCTGTCATAATGGTGTGAGAAATTTATTCTCCTTTGGATAAAGCCAATTAGCAAACACAAATGACCACCTCCATTACCAGGTGAATCTGGAATAAGGATATATGTGACAGATGGTGCTGTCGAGTTCTCTTACTAATGGACTAGTTACTGTTTATCATGAGAACATATATGTAAAGTGTTGTATCTGCTTGGCTATTATGCTATAATGGTAATTAACCCTTGATCCTCCTCCTAGCTGCAGTGTTGTTTCCTTAAGGGAAGCAACATTCGTGAAGAGATTAACTATACTTCATCCACCAGGTTCTGCATATGAAGGTGGTATGGTTTTTTCTGAATATCACATTTTCATTCAATTATCCATTTAAGTCACCAAAGGTTACTTTCAACACTAGACTCTATCTCAGCTACATCAACAGTCAGGGAATCATCTAATTAAAGACAACTGAGTACCGCTTTGACTGTTCCAATGTTTTTGCTGTTGATTTGTTCTCTTCACAGACTGCAACCCTACAAATCATCTTCTTGGAAACATAGCCGTTCAGTATTTGACCAGAAGAACAGAACATGACAGGATGGCCAGACAGCAAACCAAATGATATGCAACATACTCTATATAATTTGTATGTGGTGTAAAGGAAAACAAGGAATCTTCTTATTGTGCTGAAAATCTTTATAGCCTTTACAGTACAACTTCTGTGTATATGTTACGCTGTGTCTAGTCTCTGCTTTTATCCTTTGGAGACTTGGAGATTCCCCCAAAAGTTAAATGCTATCTACTTTGTAGCTAGCTGTAAGTAAGTTATGTTTAAAATGCCTACTTGTAAGTTTTGCTTCTTCAGGATATTAAAATATATTTTGTGATATACTAAAGGTCCTGATGTCTACCAAATATTATAGAGCATTTTAGCCTAATTTATTATCTGTATTAACTTATGAAAGTAGCTGTAAATGACTAGGAATTATGTTATTTGTATTAAACCCAGATCTATTTCTGAGTATGTGGTTCATTGTGGAAGATCTTTTACCTTTTACCTTTGTCAGTTTGTAATGTTTTCCTTTTACCCTTTGTAGCTCAGAGAGCACCTGATGTATTGTCTCAAACACGATAAACATACCCCTCCCTGAAGGAAAAAAAAAGGTTTATTGCAAACATTTTTGGTAATGAGAAGTTGGAGGTGATTTGGGTTTGTCAGGAAATCTATTTTAGAAAGATAAAGGCTAAGCTGTTATAGAACAGTTCCCAAAATATAGTGAATAACCAAATAAAAGATTACTTTTCTCTTAAGCTCAGATATGTATGGATGGTCCAGAGTGAAAGGCACAAGTTCCTTCTATATTGTTGCTTTGTTATCTCCTAGGGACTTAGTCAACCACCATTCAATCCTCACCCATGGCAAAGACTAATAATTGCTCTCTAGTACCTATCCTTCCCTCTACCTTTCAGCAACAGAACCTTCCCATGTTTTAGACACATGAGTGTTCATGTCATGTAGAGAAGACATTTTTCAGCCCCATGTGGTCAAAGCTGAATAACTGTCAATGAGCTGATAATTCTTGCAGCTGAGTGATGGATACAGAGGGATTTCACACTATTCTTTCCTCTTCTGCATATGTTTAAATTTGTCCATAATAAAAAGTTTTTACCACAATTAAAAATTTGTTTGAAAGTTTTTAATCAATTTGGATTTTATTTGAATTGCAATAAATAAAAGGATTAATTTTGGATGACATGATAAATTTTTATTTTCTTCTCTTATCATTTTTAAAATATCTTAATATCTTTTTTCATTTTATGTTATTTACCATTATCTTACTTTTATAATCATAAATATAAATTTAAAACATAAGGAAGTCGGAAGGAAGGGAAAGTCAGAGGGAGGGAGGAAGGGAGGAAGGAAATTTCAAGCTTTTAAACTAGGAAACTTTAAAACTCTATATTTTTATCTCCAGAAATTATTGGCCACCCTGAGAACCCTCTTGTATGATGCAACCCATTGAAACAAGAATGATACAGGGGAGGAATTGTTGGCCCTGGAGAATTCATTTGGCTTCGGAGCAGGCCTCCTGCTTAGGAGCCTCTCTAGGGACCTCCTTCATTCTCCAAGGTCTAGCTAAGATCAAGTCCCTCTGGTCATTGTTATTTGGAAGACAGAATCAAGAAGGCTTCCGTCTGGACAGAAAGACTTTAGCGATATTTCCTTGCTTGCAAGCTCCATCCGTTGCATCTTCTAAAGGAAGAACAAAGTTGAGGGAAGCCCACGAAGTCCTAGCCATACCAGTGGAGAATGGATGCCATTCAGGTATCCTCCACTGAGAGCATCTCTTTTTAGCCTAGGGAGCCCAGGTGAAGAAAAATCTCTTTCTCATTCAAATCCATCTTCTCTTAAAACTATCTGCTCAGGGAACCGATGAGTGTACAAGCCATGAATAGAAATCAAATACTCATTTATCATCTTCCTGAGTTACCTGTTAAGGAGGGAGGGGTGACCACTTTACCTTCCTCTGGTCTAGACTAAATCCTATAACTGTCCATTTTACCAGGTGTTCTCAGTGTTCTTTTATCATTATTATTATTATTATTATTATTATTATTATTACCATATTTATGATGTACAGAAGATGGTCTAAGTTTGACTTGGCTTTATCCAAATCTCCTGGTACCAACTCAGAGAATAAGCCAGTTTTCATGGACTCTCATGTTAAGTCCTAAGATTACAGTGCAAACAGTGGAGATTACAGATTCACAGAAATCCTGGAATGGGAAGGCCTTGGAGCAACTGATATGCAACAGCCCTCACTTCTATTTTGAGGACTTCTTCCTGCCTGGCTTCCATGAAACCAACACCCTGTGTGCCACTTCTCCTTGAGTTGACACAGAAGGGGAGATGGAGTTTCTGCTTAGTACCAGAGATACCCAAGGAAGATCGTCCCTCAATCCTTAGAATTTCTAAATTGGAATGGACTTTAGAAACCATACAATTTTCCCAAATTGTTTTTCTAATGAGACTTTTTTTTATTCACAGACTTACAGTGGTAAAGAAAGGTCTTATATCATCATCAGGTGTCACAACCCCCTTATTGATCATTCAAATATTCATCATGGTCTGTCAGCCAGGTAGTCAACCAAAATGTTTATTGCTTACTCACTATGCTGGTCAGCTCTCCTGTGGTTTGAACTTGGTTCCTTTTGGAACTGAAGGACAGATAGCACTTCTCGGTGCTCTGGCATCTGTTCCTAAATCCCTTTCTTTCTTTCTCCAGTCTGGATGACCTCTATTCTCTTCTTCCATTTCTAGGTCTAGTTCTGTACACTCTTCCTTCCCATCTTGGCCAATGGGTTACTGCCCTGAGCTGGGAAGGGGTGATGAGATCTGACATGGCAGGGTTTTGGAACTGAAGGACAGATAGCACTTCTCGGTGCTCTGGCATCTGTTCCTAAATCCCTTTCTTTCTGTCTCCAGTCTGGATGACCTCTATTCTCTTCTTTCATTTCTAGGTCTAGTTCTGTACACTCTTCCTTCCCATCTTAGCCAATGGGTTACTGCCCTGAGCTGGGAAGGGCTGATGAGATCTGACATGGCAGGATTGCTGCTGCTGCTACATAATCTGTCCTGGGTCAGCCGTGAAGATTTACTCACAATGCCTTATCCTCAGACATGTTCTGAAACTGATAACCCATTTAAGTATTCTTTTCTGTTCTTGTCCCTCTGAAGGAAAACTTGAATGCTCCATGGAAGTTGGCAACATAACCACAATCACTGCATTTGTTCTCCTAGGAGTATCCAACAACCCCCAGGTCCAGGTAGTACTCTTTGTTCTGTTCCTGGTGATTTACCTCCTGACCCTCACGGGGAATCTGCTGATGCTGCTGGTGATCAGAGCTGATTCCCACCTCCACATTCCCATGTACTTCTTCCTGAGTCATCTCTCTTTCCTGGATGCTTTCTATTCCTCCATCATTGTGCCCAAACTACTAGAGAACCTTCTTTCCAAGTGGAAGACTGTATCCTTCCTTCAGTGTTTCACCCAGATCTCCTTGGTCTTATTTTCTGGAGCTACAGAAGCTTGCCTCCTTTCAGTCATGGCCTATGACCGGTTCCAGGCTGTGTGCCACCCTCTGTTATATGTGGTAACTATGGAAAGGAAGTTTTGTACCAGCCTGGTGGGAGCATCGTGGGCCATAGGAATGGGGACTGGCCTAGTTAACACCTTCCTTCTGGCTCAGCAGCACTTCTGTGGCCCCAACCTCATCCACGGTTTCTCCTGCGAGCTTCCCCATGTGCTCCTGTTGGCCTGTTCTTACCCCTATGTTAGCATTGCCTCCATTCTGACCACCATGGTGATCCTGGGTCTCGGCACCCTTGTCCTATTGCTGGGCTTCTATACTCGTATCATCATGACAGCCCTGGGGATCAACTCTGCCACTGGTCGGAGCAAGATCTTCTCCACCTGCTCTTCTCATTTTCTTGTGGTTACCATCTTTTATGGTTCAGGACTTTTCAGGTATGTCATACTATACCACCTGAATGTAAATATAGGATATTCCTCAGCCTAAAGTGGTCTTGGCCTGTAGAACAAAGAGTTGCAAAGTAGCAGGAAAATAATTGTACTAGAATTCAAAGGGCCTGAGTTCTAGTTCCAGCTCTGCTCTGGACTAGCTGTGTGAATTATGAAAAATCCATTTTCTTTCTGAGGTTTCAGTGGTCTACTCTGAAAAATGAACTTATACAAAGGCTAAAGATTTTCCTACTTTCATGAACCTATGATTTGAGAGTCCTCAAAAGGAAATCAGGGAACCTTTAGTAGAGTTTTATTCAGTACAAGACAAAAAACAAACATGTCATCCTTGAAACAGATGCCATGTTTCTTTTCTGCTAGAAAATGATGCCTCCAAAGTCTATTTACTATAACTATTTATTAGGCACCTACTAGACACCAGCTGCTTTACATGATCAATTTTACTACATATCATACTACAAAAGAAATATTATTAAACCCGTTTTCAGGTAAGGAATCTGAGTTTCAGGAGTAACCAGGTAATTTCTCAAAGGTCCCAGAATGAGCTATTAAGGGAGCCATAATTTAAACCAAGTCTCACTGACTTCAAATCTCATGTTTTTTCCTACCATGCTTTTCTCAAACCTGAACAGCTCTAGCTGATGAGTCCCCACTTACTAAGAGACACAATAATTATGGTCTGTGTTCTCTATTAGTAAAATGGAGATAGATTTGTATAAATTGCTCCATGCTTTTCTCACCTGCTTGTGACTTAGAGAGAGGTCAGGGTGGGAAAGGATGATAAAGAATAGTCTAGAAGTACTCATCTGAGCCTGTAGACAAATCTCCCCATTTCTCTCTGTCTCAGTTTCTTCATATGCCATAAGAAGACAATAAGATTTCTCCTACCTACCTCACAAAAATGTTAGGAGAGATAAATTAGATGATGAAGAATGATAGTAAAATGAATATCTTTTTTAACAAAGCACACCAGAACCCACAGAGAAGATTTCCAATGATGATGGCATCATTGCTAAATAATAATAATAATGCTTTTTTGGGAAGTACTCCCAGGGATACTTAACAAATCATCCAAAATTTTAATCTTATTATTTTGGATTTCTATCTTGTGCTTAATATTTTATCTTCCACTTTATTTACCAGGCTTTGCTTCTTTCCTAAACCAAAGAAAAATGCATCTAAAAAGACAAATGTTTGTTGCATTTAGCATTATAAAAATAATGTGCTATTATTCTGAGGGTAATTTCCAGAGCAGTGAATGTTATGAACAATGGCAGCATTATTGGACTAAGTATACAGTTTTGCAAGGAATAGTCATCACAAGATGAAAACATACAGTTGTATAATAGAAAAAAGAAGATTTTAAAAATCCTCATATTATCATTATAACTATTAAGGAAAGACACTTTGAAGAGAATGAAGTGCTACAGAAATGCATGAAATTATTATTAGTTCTATTCTAACCTGCAATACTTGATATGCTGCAGAACTTCCTTTTATCTCAGGGCAGCTCCTATAATGTTTTGCATGAGATCATTCATGTTTGAACGCATTTGAAGGCAGAAACGAGTGACTTCTCACTTATCATACAGTCATTTCTAGGTGCTGTACCAGTGACAGTCAACTCAGCTCTGAGGACCCTCTTTGCAGAGTCTCTAGAATACGATGGACCATGGTGGCCAAGAGTATTGTGGCCATTGTCCTGAGCTAAGTTTATTCCTTTGTGCAATTCCCTTCAAGGTATATGATTCCAACGTCTGACTCAGTCCTGGAGCAAGTGCTCTCCCTGCAGTACAGTGTGGTGAGCCCACTGTTAAACCCCTTCGTCTACAGTCTGAAGAACCAGGAGGTGAAGGGCGCTCTGAGGAGGATGCTGGCCAGGAAACCCAGACTTACCTTCTAACCCAGGCTCCACTGCCTCACCAGGAGGAAAAGTGATGGGAAAGA